ACCCCGTTCAAAACTCCGGCGTCCACGTTAATTTCATGTGAGCAAAGGCATGAGACGTTTGTATTCGTTTAGTTGCTAAAGAAAATAATTGTCCATTGCAGACCTATCTGTCACCACTTTGTGAATCCTAAGGTCAAGGAAAAGCATCATATAGTGTCAACCAGAAGATTTGGAAGAAGAGGGAAAAACACAGCGAAAAAGGGAAGAGACCTTTGATAATCTGCACAAAGATAATACACTTTTCATTCAAATTTTTGAAAACTCCTCACAAAAAGAAGATGCGGAAATTTTCCTATGTCACAATGACTTGTCTAAGATCCGATCAGCACTCTTCCTGAGTTATCTCCGTACAAAAACTTTTCGTTGTTGTGGCAATCAGACCTTGCTTTGTTTCAATCTTTCCTCCAGCAACTCAATCATGGTATTCATAGCTTTACTACCGCGCATAAAATTGATAATCATAAAAATTACAATTTCCTTGATTTTTATTGGTTTAAAAAACTCATACTTTCTACTAATTCACCAGCCAAGTTGTTATCGGACGGTCCAATAAGCCAAACACATTAAAAATTAGTACTATTGCTTGGGCTGTTTCGAATTCTATTGTAAATTCGTTTTGTTTTTTAAATCATTCTGTGAATAAAGATGGCTTTGCGCATGTTTTGATTACTTATGTATTAATTATTAATTTATGTCTTACCTTCACTCCTCTCACCAGAGAATCTAAGTAAGAATCAATGGAATTGGCGCGTTGTCGTGTTGCTGTTTCTTTTTTCTTCAATAAATGAAGAAATTTCCAAGTCTTCTAGCTGTTTCTCTTCGTTTGATTCATCTTATAAACTTGGATGTATATTTGCCAGCCATTCTGACTCTTTGTCGTCAGAAATATGATTCAAATTGTCCGCCATTTTTCTCGTAACTACAATTCAATTATTCGCTTGCGTGATGCGAGAAAACCTGTTCAAGCGGTACTCTACAGTACAAATACTGCGTAATATTTGTGCTCGTCTATGGCGTTATTTGTACTCTACGAAGTGTAGTTGGATAATAAATCTTGATATTTTGGACATTCGTAAATTTAGTTAATTAACTATATATTTTGCAATCTGAATATAGATAGTTTGAACATAGCCGCTGCAACTCGATTAAGCAATGGAACACGTTTTTCCGGGCTCAGTAACGTAATTAAGCCATACAGGATGTTGGAAGAAGACGAGAAAAGCTTAGAAATTCCAATCCGAAGGCCAGTGATATACAAACTTTCCGAGTGTTCTCCCAACACCCCAAGTGCCTTCAATTCATCACTTTCTAGAACCCTAAAAAAATGCGTTTTATTGCTTTTACGACATGATTAATTACATACGGGTTGTATAGAGTGTGTGCGGTCACATGACTATGACGTCAGAGAAATTTTATGGCCGCCATGTTGGAGGAGTGAAAATCAGTATAGCACTTCTGGAGATTTGTTTTATTCGAAAGCGTAATTTCTCGAGTGATGCCATCGCTTTGCCTCGTCGCTTGGAAATTGAATGCATACACTTGTTTTGAACAGCCCAGTACATTCCCACGTGAATCACTAGTGCGTGCCCAAATATGGCAATGTACTAGGCTGTTCACTGACAAGTGTTACCGCAATTAGCCAAAAACAAATGCGCCAAAAACATCTATCACCACCGCACGGAAATCGTTAGGGACCTTAAGGTTACCGTGCACCTTCAGGGGTGTCTCGCGTGCAAGCGATGTAGCGCGTCCGGTTTAAACTGTAGATATCTAAACCCCATATCAAATTAAAGCTTATAGGACTGGCTAGCAGACTATGCCAAAACTTTTGAAAAAAATTAATTGTCGAGTTTTTCACGACTTCTAAATGCGAGCGCC